GACGCAGCCCCTGCGGTAGCTGGGCCGCGGCCCGCTTCCCCGCCGGGGTGGTTCGAGGCGTATGCGGCCACGTACCGGACCTCGATGCCCAGAAAGACAAACAAATGCTGCGCGTAGCGTTGCTAAGGCTGGAAAGGGCGCACTGGAAAGGCTCTGGGGGCGAGCGGGAAGAGGTGGTTTCCAGCTAACGCATGGTGGAAAGAAGCCCAAACCCTGTGGCTTGCAGGGGGCTTGGCGACCTCGTGCGGGTGCAGTGGGGTGCCACGGCCTTCTTCCCTCCCCAGATCCGTGGCAAAGGACTAGACTGGCCCTTGGTCGTGAAGGACTTCAACCTGCTGCGCTGGCTGGGGGCAAATTCCTTCCGCACCAGCCACTACCCCTACGCCGAGGAGATCATGGATCTGTGCGATGCCTACGGCATCGTGGTGATCGACGAGTGCCCCGGAGTGGGGATTAAAACTGCGTAAGCAATTGCTGGAAAGGCCCTTCCCCACCTTTCTGTAGTCCCAAGAGCTCCTTCAAATGATGCTTTCTGTCCTGGTAACACCCACGGCTTCCCTCCCTCCCTCCCTCCCGTCCTGGGGCTCGCCTCGGCCTGATAGTGGAAGTACTTTTCTCTCTTTAGAAATCAGCCTGTTGCGTTTCAAAGCCTCTCCGAATGCGACTAGTGAGATTGAGCAACCAGAGGGCGTTTTTGCCACGTGTTCATGGCTTCGTCCAGTCTAAGTTGGTTAATGAGCCCAGACCATGGCCCTGAACTGCACAGTAGGCTTTGGAGAAATAGGGCAGAAGCCTCGTTTTTGTGTCACCTGCAACAAGGCTTGGTTGTGCCTAGAAGCCCCTGATACTCTCAAGTCACCGCAAAGACAGGCTAAGGGAATGAATTTTTTTTTTTTTTTTAACTACTAATATAGTGACCTGATCTCATTTCCTTTTAAGTGAGAGCTTTGGGAACAAGTCACTGCAACATCATCTTCTTGTGATGGAGGAGCTGGTCCGCAGGGATAAGAACAGGCCTTCAGTCGTGATGTGGTCAGTGGCCAACGAGCCGGCTTCACAGCTGCCCCCAGCAGCTTATTACTTCAAGTAAGTGCGTATGCTTGCACACAGCGATGAGACATGAGTCTTTGCAGATAATGTATCATCTTTCTTTGGGGTAGTACAAAGAAGTAGTAAAAAGAAGGCAAGCAACTTTTGGGAACCCTGAAAAAGTACCCACAGATACAAACTAAAAGTGCAACTGCTGCATATGTGGAACGTAGCTTGAGTTCAGAACTCCACTCTGTTCTCAAATGGTTATTTTTGAACCAGTAAAGCGCTGCAGACTTACCAAGAATCTGTTTGGTGTGAGCATTTCTTCTTGCTAAGGGTCAAGGAAAAGCAGACCTCATAGGAACTGCTCATTCCTTGCTGGCTAAGGAAGTTGAGTGCTTAAATTCTGAGTTTGCTTACGTCTGAGAATTACAGCTAGTGACACTCAAAAGCCACTGCTTGAAGTCCCTGCAGACCCTTTGGTTTTATTTTTAAAGAGATTTAAGCTTTGGCTAGCTAATAGTAATCTCTATAAAATTGGGGTAGCAGACTGTCCCAGGTAGCTGTAGGTGAATTAAGAGCTAACTCTGAATTTTCATTCTTCAGAATCATCCACCCTACTTGAATGTTGAGGTGGAAATAGAACTTGATGCTCCTGTTCTCTCTCGTCTCCCTCATTCTCTAACTTCAGAGCGCTGGCTCTAGCAGACAAATTAACGTGCCTTTGTTTGAAAAAAAAAAAAAAAAAAGAGCAGAAATATATCAGTTTGACTAGCAATCAATCAACTTTGTGATGGATAAAGGTCTTACTGACATATTTTTACTCCTACAGGGATGGCTAGAATTGCACGCAGCCAAAAGGAGTTGATCACGGCAGGTCACTGAATATTTGCTTTAAAAATACTGTCTGTAAAATCACAAGCGGCTCTAAATGCCTGAGGGGGTAGAAGGACAGGGAGACTGAGGAAACAGGGTAGCATTTGGCCAAGCTGTTTCTCCTTGCTGTTGTTGAACTCTTGTTTTACTCTTTGCAAACAGGACAGTGATAGCTCACACCAAAGCTCTTGATCCCTCCAGACCAGTAACCTTTGTGACAGATGCTAATTACGCTCTTGATCATGGTGTAAGTTTAACTTGTCTTCTAGCTTTCTTTTTTATCCATAAAACAATTGACAAGATGACATTTAATGCAAGTTCCTTTCCCTCACCTCCCCAAATTTACAGTAGATAAGAGGCAGAAGAAAACTCGCATGTCAAGTACAAAGCACCTTCTCCTGTAGTTGTAGTCTGGCAAACATCTGTAAAAGAGAAGAAAGTTGCCTGTCTTGAGTGAAGTATGCAGGATCAGCCCCACTGGATTCTAGTAATATTGCCATGCTTTGTTATTCTATTGTTTGTGTTTATTAATGCGCAGGCCTTTCACTTGCAATTAAACTAAAGCTTAAAACCCTCTTTAGAATGCTAACAGCCCTCATGGAAGTCTAAGAAGGAAGCTTTGCCTTAATTCCTTTAAACTGCTCTAGATCATCTTTAGCAGGTATCTGTTAGGTTCAGTAATCTTAAAACCTCTTCTAGCCTGAGTTCAGCTTCATAATGAAAGTTCTGCAGCTGTGTAATTAGCCCAACAGCAGCTTTTTTGGCTGGCTGTTCTTTAAAACTGTCCATAGCATGAACCAAGAAATCTTTAACACACCTCAGAATTTGTCTTCCAGGTAGTTCCTATGTAACCTTTAATTTTCAAGTTGGTTTTGTAACACTTTGTTATCACGGTGCAACAAATATCCTTTTACAGACTTGCCTGCTAAGTTACATGTACATGGTGCTACCACAGGTACCAGGATATACTTCATGTTTCTCTTGAGCTGTCCTACAGGAATGGCCTTTTTGTAGCTCTGGGAGGTCCCCTTTTCAAGGAGGGGAAAACTTGATGACCTTAATTTTGAAGGCATCATCCAGCAGGGATCTGCTCTTGGACATTACTGTTGCTTCATGCATATATACACAGACTCTGACATCCCATTCCCAGTACCATGTGACTAACCCAAGGAGACACGGTGCGGGGAGGAGAGGAAAATAAATAAAAAAACCCACCACACACAAAAAATAGGTCTTACACACTGATGTGATATTAGAACTTTTCTTTTATTACAAAACCATGTTAAGAGAACATTGAACAAGTTACATATAACATCACTTTGTCTTCAGTGGGCTTCATGCCCTTTATCATACTGTCCATGTGGCAGAAATGGCATACAACTTGCAGAATGCTTAGTCTTGTATTGCACCACTGATGCACAAATTTATTTGCTAGTCAAAATATTTGAGCACTAACTTGATCACCACATTCCAATGCTCAGAAAGTATGCCTACATGTACCAGCAAGCCAGAGACATCTTGGAAACCTCAAACTTCTAACGAACCTGAGGCTGAAATGGGTTGATCTTATTTAATTCTTTGCTGTGTCTTCCTAAGTATGTAAGAAAATGTCAAATTGACATGCCATTGCCTTGTTAATTTTATCCTGCTTTTTTCTGGAAAAGGAGTTACTTTGGGAGGGCCTGAGTTGCAAGGAAAAAGGCTTCATTCTAGGGGTAATAAAACTGCATTCCTTGAAATGAACCAAAAGGAAGATTTAGCTTTAGGAATGGAGGTTGCCTACTTTGAACTCTGTGACAAAACACTCCCACCTTGTGTTTTGTAGGCTCCTTATGTGGATGTAATCTGTGTAAATAGTTACTTCTCGTGGTATCATGACCCAGGCCATCTGGAGGTTATTCCACTACAACTCATGACACAGTTTGAGAACTGGTATAAAACCTACCAAAAACCCATTATCCAGAGTGAATATGGAGCAGATTCAATTCCTGGACTTCACAATGTAAGTGTTAGAAGTGCACTAGATGAAAAAGCACTGTTCTTAAGTAGCCCAACTCATTGGTACCAATCTCCTCTAATTAAGTTTTGCTGACCCTTTAATTCTGAGATGTATTAGATATAAGTGTCCAAAAGACTCTAGGACTGTAATCCTGCTCCACTGAAATCAATGAGCTTTGCCACTGACTCTAACAAAGGTAAGAGAAGTTTTTGGCTTTGAGCAAGAGCACTGAGCGTTTTGCAAGGTGCTGTTTAAGTTCTCATGCACAGGAGGTAGAAATCCCTGTTGCAACTTTTGAAGCTGAAACTACCCTCTCCTAAATTTTGCCCTAGACATTTGGTTTTTGACACTTGCCAACTCCTGGTATTAGCTCCACTCATACTGTGTAAAACATACCTAATAACGCTTTTGTACTTGGGTCCTAAACTGCAATGCACCTTTTACAATGAATCATTTTGACAGTCAAGCTACAGCTAGTTGTTAATTTATACTTAATGTGGTTAAACCTCTAGAAGAGGCATTGTGAAATCTTCTGTGCTTTGGCATTTGTAGAAAATGCCTAGTAAGAAGATAAGACACTGGGAACAAGACGTTCTTTTCACAATACAGTCCTGGATAGCAGAAGGTAGCGCTCCTAAGCTTATCATGAGAAAGCACCCTTACCAATCAAAACCGTGTATTTCTGCCCAACAAAGAGTACAGCTGGCATAATGTTTGTAGTTTGCTTGTGTTTCCCCCTGCACTTTCATTAGGTGCTAATTGTCACTGAATGGCCACTCTTAATGCAGTTGCAATGAAGAGACCAAGCAATTGAAAAGCTTGTCTTCAGGTAATGAGTCTCCTGTAAATGGAAAGTTAACATAGGGAGCCTTTGCTGAGATACACTGTCACCTCCATTCAAGCCCATCTTTTTTCCTGGCTATAGGATCCACCTCTTATGTTCAGCGAGGAGTATCAGAAAGCTATGCTAAAACAGTACCATTCCGTATTTGACAAAAAAAGGAAGGAGTATGTGATTGGGGAGCTCATCTGGAATTTTGCTGATTTCATGACTAATCAAGGTAGGCTTATTTATATTTCAAACAACTCTCCATCTTCCCTGTGACTTTAAATGGCTTATCTCATAAGCCTGCTGTAGGGCAGGGCAAAGGGACCCTCTGCTTTCCAAGACAGAGCATAGCTGGTTTCTGTGACAAAGTCCAACATGACCAGAGCCAAGAGGAAAGGTTCTGCCTGTACATGCATCCTCTTTCTCCAGCTTGAGCTCTCAGGTGTCCCTTCTGCAAAGATGCTATCCCAGAACATGAAACCGTGCAATAGGGCAGAATGCAAGGAAAGTTCGTGAGCAGACCCAGATCACTCGTCTCTTGGCAATCCTTAATCCAGAGCTTCAGTTAGCTTTTAGGAAAGCATCTCACTTGCTCCATAGTTCACCTACAATTGCCCTTAATAACAGAGCACCTTAAATAAGGTATTGTGAAATTGGCATAGAGCTTCAGCAGCACAGGACCAGATGCAGAAGGGCAGGCAACGGTCTTACCATGACACTCAATCCACTGTTAATGAATAAGTGCGTTCACAAAGCATGAGGCATTACTTAATCTACAGTGCAGACAGTCACCTAGAAATTAGGTTACTGCAACTCAGAAGGAGACCTAGTAAGGAACAAGGAATGCATATGCCACCTACAGCGAGTTAGGGCAGTAAACAGTCAGTGTTAATTTCAAGCAGGCAAACTCCATTAAAAATAATCTATAGAGCACCAACACAGGTATTAGAAAGGTAGGTCATCATAGAGAAGCAGTCAGAAAAGTAATATTAATTTCAAATAGCAGGATGGAAAAAAAATGTAGACAAGTTTACATAAATGCAGTTCCAGTCTCTCAACCTGCTGCAGTTATCTTTTCTGATTTCCAGTGAAGACTAAAATAGGCAAAAAGGGTATCGATGCCACTAAAGGATAATACAGCCAGAGGGAGGGGTTAATAACTGACATTTTCACCCTCAAATTACAATGTGGAACTAATGGCAGAAGGAACTTCTGCTGTAGAGAGACTATGATTCAGTTCATGGGTATACTTGAATTAACTGCCATTGACTTATTGGTTGTAAATGCAATGTATTGCATTTATATTGCTCAGTTACATCAGTTAAAATTTTGCCAAGATGATGCAAGTTACATTTGCCAAGTTCCATGTTGTACCTGACTTTCTTGCAGAAGGTGCATAGGTCTCTTCCACCTAACTGGATTTAGTTCACACATTGTAACAGTTTACAGTAGGGAATTTAAGAGCATTTTGTATATACTTGCTTTATTTTATAACTTCTCTACAGGGATCACACGTGTGTTGGGGAACAAGAAAGGATTATTTACCCGACAACGACAGCCAAAGTCAGCTGCGTTTGTTCTTAGAGAGAGATACTGGAAGATTGCAAATGAATCAAGCTGTTTTCCTCCTATAATAAAATCACATATCCGCTTTCTGTAATGAAATCGGAAAGTGTAATGGTTGGATTCTATGCTGAACTTGTTCATTAAATTTGTTTGAATAATATTTATGCTTGCTGACTCAAGCCTTGCAAGTTTAATGCAATCTCTAGTCCATCTGAAGTAGCTATCAACTCTGAAACACAAAGCAAGTCAGGAATACTAGTTTCCTATGCCCAGCCATCTCTGTAGGCTTCCTGTTTTCCAGGTAGGAAAATGAACAAAGTTGCAAGGAGCTGAAGTTAAGAGATCCTGTCTGAGGTACCCATTTATGACAAAATAAGACAAAAAAACCCAGCATGATACAAATGAATGCTGAGGATTTCAAAAATCCAGAGTACTCTAAATGAGCATCACATCCCTCCAATGTGAAAGAGGTTTTCCAGTTATACTCCTGTAACTGTTAAAGTACTCTGATCACAGCAAATTATACATTTTGCTCTTCAGTGATCCTGTGGACATAGTTTCTCTTGTTCAAGTCGTATAGAACATATGTGGCTGGCTGAGAAATTCCGAGAGTCAACAGCAGTCAGGAAGCGTGCAAACCACTACTTCGGTAAGGATACCCAACATATTCCAATACGATATGGAGTTCATACTATAGCAGCAAGATGGAATGTGTCAGATGGGTACCTACCTACATCAACTGAAGTTAGTTTAAAACTATTTATTTTACCACTATTAGACGCAGTTTTACCTTCCAGTATGGAAGAGCACTTCCTTCATATTAAATCATCACTATGGAACTACAGTAATAGTATTCTAGAGGGTGAATTTGAAAGACCTGAGTCTTTCTGATACTGACCTGAAGCATTCTGGGGTAGAACGATTTGTAAATTAGTGTGCACACACCACTTTAGACAGTAATGTAGTGTACTAACTTTCCCTTGCAGGCAGCACACCAGTCTTAGAGGCTCCTAAAGGCCAGGCTTTAGACTGCAATAGACTCTGTCAATACTCACAGAAGAGCTCAGAACACTTCATCTGCAAACTTCTTGTTGCAAGCTCCCAAACTTGTCCCAACAGCAGCAACACCCTTATCAGAAGCACAAAATTGGAGGCTGCCTACTGAATTTTGGAAGTTAAGACAATTGGGTAGCTTCATTACTCTGATTCACCGATACTGTGTAAAACAGTATTGCTGTGACTATTCTTTCCACAACTGGCTCTTCCGCTAGGATCTCAAGAAAGTGACCAAGACATCTGCCAATAATAAAGAAAACTTTTGTTACTATGTTGCATGATGGCCACATTCTCTTTCCTTCAGAGGTGATACATTAGAAGCCAAGAAAAGTTTCCACTGCCACATGCAGAATAAGGACATATATGCTTATTGCAGACTTCAGAGCAATTTTTCCTTGAGATTTTAAGGGAAAAGAAAAAACATCGTACTAAGATTCCTCATGGTTACACTGTATTAGGTTTACAGATTTTCTAGTTCACTAAAAACCCAGACTATAAATATTTATCCATATTAAAAAGACAGTCACTCAACTGTTACTTGGTACGAGAGTGAATACCATATATAAGCCCACTAACAGTGTTTGAAAATTCTTTCAACTTCTTGATCTCTAGACTTCATTTTTTTTAAACCATTTTGTTCCCCATTTCAACACTGACATCATGACATACCAACAGCAGCCACATGAAAACACAGATAAAAGATTTGACATGGTTAACGCATTACAAACTAGGGCTCAGATCCCTATGATATACACAGGACTTGCAGTTGCAGAAGAGAAAGCTATACTTTCATTCAGTCCAACAAGACAGATGCAAAGTTTAATATCCACATTTATGGTAAGCACACATTTCAGAGAGTCTCATTTCCTGCTTATGTTCTTAACAGCTCAGTGCAATCGTAGGCCCAACCCGCCTATCTAACCCTTTTCCCAGAATACCCCTGCCCCCTTCCCAAAAATCCAGGAAAATATACAGTAGTTTTCAAATAGTTTGTGATCTTGTCAGAGTAGAGCTAAAGCAGACCTATAGAACAAAGGAAAGCAGGAAGTGATTAAAATAACACACTTAACATTTTTTGCATTTGCTTAAAGAACTGTAAACAGTAAAGCCTCCAGTCAATGCTGCTCGACCTTTACACACCCATGTGCACACAACATTCAGCAATACACAGTGAAGCTGCAGAACTCCTGTACACCAGTATCTCTGGGGATCCAAGTGCTCTAACCTTTCTACTGCTAACATACAACTTCTTTGAAAAAGATCACAACTTAATACATTTCTAGAAACAGGATTACAGTACTGACTTTAAAAACAGTTTCTAAGGCTCAGACTGAGTCCAAAAAGGCCTCTGATTGGGTTCATTCAAGCTCTTATGTTTGGACTGCATGAATGCAGCATAAGAATGATTGCAGCAAGACATCCACGGGTAATTTCTACATTTATTTTTTATACCAAAAAGTTATGTGCAACAAATAAAATTCATACATATTTACATTGTTTTACCTGTTAGCAAAATTGTATCCTAAGCCTCCAATAGAGAATCTCTCAACCTATATTGATAAAAGGAACATCTGCTCAGTGACTCCACTTAAATGGATGTTTTATCTGGAGTTTAAAGCACTAGTAATAAATAGTTGATGGAACATCCTATACAGAACAACACCTAGTATTTAGGCCATGCTTAATACAGTTTTATGGTAACGGAATACTCCATCTTTTCTGGACCAGTTTTTTTCTAGATCATGTTTAAACATTGGCAGAACCACAGTTACTAGATCTCTCTAACTTTAGCCCGTACAAATTAGGAGCCACAAGTGCTGCCTGAAGCACCTCGCCAATCTTTTTGAACAATCAAGAGACTCTGTACAGCAGAAGACGAATATATACTACAGTATGCAGAAATCTCCTAATTAGAAAGATCTGTTCTCACCTTAGATATCAAAGGTGGTAGGGAATGTTTCATTGGCCTTAGAGTTGCAAATACTTTACAGTAAGAAACTTTCAGGAACATTCACTTTCTAAATGAGACTTGAATGCTTCGTTGGCCTTAAGAGTAGTAAGTACCTTACAGTAAGAGGATTTCAGGAATGTTTACCTCCTAAACGGCACAAATTCAGAACCACTGTTGGTATCTTTTTTCTGATTTTTCCCCAAGTTCTCATGAGTGTTGAGACCACAACTAGAATCTGTGTAATGATACTGCCCCCTCTTCATCTCTTTTCCAAACCAGCTATTATTTACTAGCAGCTAGCCATACTCTTACATCCTCAAGATTTCCCAGGAAGCTTACCAGACATTACATTCTGTTTTGTAAAGATCAAATTAGTATCAAACATATTATTTGCCATGACATCTGTTTTGTCTGGCAGTAGGCAGGGGGGGCAGCTGCGTGAAGCACTTGTCTGATTTCTGTCACATTCCTAATTGCAACCTGAGCCATTTCACTGGAAGAAATACGCTGTTTCTATCATTGGCAGCAATGAGGAAAGAGTCAAAGAACTGGAAGCAAGAAGGTCCAAATTTCTACTGCTAATATTATTTTGCCCTTTATTCACACCAACTGCATTTCTAAAGCACAAAAGAGAAAGTAGAAGAGTTAGGGCCACTTCTAGCAAATCACTTCCAGTAAAAAGTAACTGTAAGAGAAGCACACAAGACAAAAGTTCACAATTAAGGATCAGATTTGCAAGATCGTGCACAAAGTACAGCTGCAAATTCTTCCAGAGACCAAACTAATTTTGCATTTGATCCCTATGTGCAGACAAACAAGGACTGCAGACACAAACGCTGAAAACCTGGCCCTAAACAATTTTACTCCAACTGAATTAACAGACTATGCCCACACAGACAAGCACAAGACACAGTGAAGTTAGTCAACACCTATGCTTTCAGTTGATGGGGCTTTTTCCCTTTTTTGGTGTGCATTAAACCAGAAGTTGGACCAAGTAATCATTGATTATACTTGTCTCCATTGCTGCTTGTTCTGAGATATTAGTACTGCGACTAACCATTTCAGGCAGCACGTGTTCACCTCTTCCTTGGATGAAAAGATGCCTTAGTGTAGATCATAGGAATGCATCAAAACAAATCTATACAACATATTAAACAGTGTTATTGCCTCAAGGCTTGTCAAGAGGACAAAGTAAAGCCTTGAGGGACCAGTTTAACATCGTTCACTCCCCTCATGTCAAAGTTCAAGGCATTTAAGAGACAGAACTAAACATCAAGACAAGCTTTAACTATACTCTGGTCAATACAAAATGAATTGTTGACTAAAACTGTTAGACAAGAAGGACAAGTAATTTAGTGTTACATGCAACAGATGTTACTCATACCACAGAACTTTATACATAAAGCAGTTTCCACCTACATCCTGGACACAAATCAGAAAGTTACCTCAGTAGTAATTTAAATACTATTTTGTGAATTCAGTCCAAAAATCCTATCTTCTCTACTGAACACTGCATGTTTCACAGTCAAGTTTATCCTCAGCAACTTAGTGTTTGTAATCCACTTAGCAATACAAACATGTGTGTCTCAGACATTCACGTTTAAGAAAAAAAAAAAACCTAGTTAAACTAATTATTTAAATAAACGGGTATGCAGTTGGAACTCTTCATATTTAGAAGCCAAGGGCAAAAAGCAGCACAGCACCAATTACAGGAAGTAGCCGAACCTATTTGTTTTGGTGTCACAGAGTCTGAAACGCAAGTATTTTACTTTTCTGGATCATGTCATCAACCTTCCGTCATATTGATTTAAGTTAACTGAAACAATATTGCTATCACTTCTCAGTCTAAAAACTAAAGGAGATATCTGAATACCTTTCTATGCCCAGCAATTTTGTTGTTTTTTTTTTCCTTTTTGTTTGTTCATTTTTCAAGCAAGGAGACTTCTGCCTGCCAAGTTCAACACAAAATATTTGGTTTAAGACTTCAAGACAGAAGGCACTTTCAACATTCAGCCTTAGAATACTGAGTGCAGAAACAACATTTACAATTTTGTTCAGGTGCTTAAATCTGTACTTTAATTTTTTTTAATTAGTTATTAGAAAGAGCAATGATAGCACTATCACATTTTGTTTTCAGGAGCACATTTACTTACTCATCCAACTAAACAGACTGCCCTTCCAAGGGACCTTGTGTGTGTCTGTCCTAAAGTTCATTTCCCAATATAGCACAAACCAAAGATCCTGACCAAGATCAATTAAGTATCTGCTTATTCAGTGCACTACTTGGTCATTCCACTCAGTCAGTGGTTTCCACTGCAAATTGCAATCCTATACTGCAGCATTCATATAACACCAAACATCAGTAACACTGGCTGTCTGACAGCAGTTTAAAATGAAAACATAGCTCTGTGTGGAAATTAAACCATTTCAAAGAGATCTCTGACACACCAACCCCCAATCTGTATATAATATTCCAGTGGCAGCTTTCTATTAACCACATTTAGCTATTTTCATTCTCTACAAAAATTAATGAAAGTGTGGTTTAATGGATATACTTCAGGTTTCAGCTTTAATTCCATTTTCATTAGTGGAGAGAAAAAAAAAAAAAGGAACAAAAACCAACCATCATTTTTGTGAAAGCACTAGCAGTGAGTGCAGCAGCAGCAATGTTTTAGAGGCCACTCCTTCCATCATCTCAGTCACCTCTTAGCTGAACACTCTGAAATCTCCTAGGCTAACAAAACTGATTGTACAGCGAGTTCTCCAAGGATGAACCTGACATTTCTAATTTTATTTACAGTATAAGTCCTAGTTAAATCTAAGTCCATCAGCTTTAAAAAAAGTAATACACATACTGTAAACATGGCAACATTAAATATGGTAATGCTATTCTAGAATATTTAATGTCATGATCACATCTTGTTATACCTGAAATTGAATTTATATACAGGATATTTTATAGCAAGTGTTACCCACTTCACAAGTGGAGGGGGAGGAGGGAGAGTCTAGTTTTCCTGCGGCTAAAACTCCTTTAAAGTAAAGTTAAAGCTTGTCTTTGATTGTATTAGAGCTTTCTTCCATAACCACATTTAAATTGAATATTAGCACAAAAAATTATCTAGGGCCCCTTGCAATTTATAATTAAAAATTCAGTTATGATTCTCAGGGAAAGTGTCTGATATGAAGAATAAAAAAATTACTGCAAAATAAACTTAATGGAAGTTGGGTCTTCAGACTGTCAGTCAAAAGTTCAAACAGGCATTATTCCTGTTTGGGTTGGAGTTGCCGTTTCCAGGCCTCGTTCAAATAAACTAGTCGTTTGTAGTTGATGATAAAGAGAATGAAGTTCAGCAAGTATGTGATGACGCAGACAATGCAAAATTCCTTCAGCACGAAGTACAGAATATATGCCAAGTACAAAGACCCTACTACAGACACTATGGAGGATGTCATGAGGATTAGAGCTGCTACTGCACTTGCTGTCATACCTGCAACAAGAGAGAGAAAGTTACTACCACTGCTCTCAGTCCCCCATTTCACACACAATAAAAAGCTTAAGAACTTGAATTCAAACTCAAGGCTATTTGGCAAGTCTGTATTACATACACGTCTGTTCAAAATACCATGACTTCAAGATGACTGACAAATTGCTATTTGGACAGGAGCTTCTAGGTTCTGTACGACAGTCCTTTAGTAAGAGGTATGTGTAATATTTACCATCTTCTATATTCCTGAATTTTAGGAAAGTTATAGGTTGGTCAGGTTAGATTATGAATACTAATAACTTTATAGCAGACTGTAGAGTTAGGGAGAAAGAAATTTGCACACATTTTATTAATACGTTAAATTTCATGCATTTGTTTGCCTACTACCCATATTACTCCTACAAAACCTGTAAATTCTGTTTTTATTTCCCCTCTTTTCTATCCTGTAATCCAATGTTAAATATACTTAAGTAAAAGTGTCTTGATGCTTACATTATTAATAGCATAGCAGGAGCAAATGAGATTGCTTTCTTATCAGTTGGGTTTTTAAGCCCTTGGCACAGATGAACCACTAGACTGGTGCTAAGAAGATGATAAAAAAAAAAAAATCACTTGCATTTCATCTGGTCTCTTGTAGACTCTGCAACGTGCAACTCACTCTTCTTTCATCACTACAGACCTGTTATATGTTTTAGGCTGTAAACTGAATTAATACTTACCAAGCAACATTTGTAGTATATAAAACACGAGTCCAAAAACACTGTTTGGCTGATTTATTGCACTGTCCTTTCCAAAGATGGAACCCAACAGACCAAATCCTCGACCCCATCTGTAAAACAGGGAAATTAATTAACTTGTATTTGGGCACCTATTGCTTTACATCAGTATTTTTAATTCATTGTTTCAACAGCTTGCAATGGAGGTACACTACATAAAACTTTATCCCACACATCACTGATGAAAGTTACTTGACACATTGGCAACTACCAAGTTCACGCTATTGCGAGACACTTGTCCTCAAATACTGGGTCTGCTTCCTCAGTTTGTAGTTCACAGCTCTTTTGTCAAATAAATACTTTTCTCTCTGATGATAGCTTTCAGAGTTCTCTCTGCTGCGTTAAGAGCCTGACACACGCTTACTAAATATACAGCTCTGGGAAAACAGTAGAACTTGTAACTATTTGTTACCACCTCACTTGCCAGCATATACCCACTTGCACCAGAGCAAGCACACCAGAACATGTGTCTGTGCTTCAGCTGTTCTCCACCAGTCTAACACATTAGCAGAAACCCAGATTTGTCAAGCACACACACTGGGAATGGTAACATCTTAAATTGCTATAACAAGATTCACAGATCTCACTTGTTACAGCCCTTGCACAACCTAAAACGTTGAACTAGCATCTTAACACAAAGCAACCTGAACTTGCTAGCGGTAAGGTACAAAGCTGTACAAGCCCTATAGAACTGCTGCTATATAATGAAGTGGATAAAAGATTAAATTAGCAAATATAGTAATGCTGAGAACCAATAATCCGATGTCCTGAGGTAGACGACTTCAATATCTGTAAAAGCAAAGTGAGGACCATATTTACTAGTGTCACCTGAAAATAGGAAAAAAGTTAACGCTAATATGAAACTTAATTCATTTACAAGAGAACATTTGGATATCTGCCTGCCCGTCTTCTGAGCACAAAGCCAAGGGCTACATAAATGTAAGGCTGGGTCTACGTTACAGCTGCCACATAACTATGTAAAAAATGCACAGTCCCTCACTATCACAGTTGTTCCAGCAGAAGCATCTAGCATGCTACATTTATGCCAACAGAAGTGCAGTTTTAGAACAGCTTATTCTTCTAGAGGCAATGGTTTTATTAAACGAAAAGCATAGGTGTGCTCTCTGTACACTGATATAATTCACCACAAATTTGAGACCAGCGAAGGGCTACAACCACACTAGGAACACTTTCTCATACAAGAAAATTGCCACAGTAAGTACAATTTCATACTATCTCCAAAATACTTCAGAGCCTCACAGGCATTTGAGCAACGTTTTCAAAATGTATTCAAGCTAATCATTTCTATTCAAGCTTAGTAACTGCCTGCAATTAACTATTATGCGCAAGCCCTGTTTCTTGAGAAGAGCACCGAACTGAGAATTATGCACCAATTCCCAGAAAATGTATTTACTGCATAAAAGGTAAAAAAAACTTCATACTTTCAATTAGCTTGGTCTCAAATCTTGTAAGTGACAGAAGCAAAACTCATGTGTAAACATAAAGCTTCAACGCAGCCTACACATCATATATTTACTATGAGAGAGTTCAAAAGACTGACACTCGCTTTACGTAAACATGACTACAGTACTCCACATCCCAGCACTGTGGAAGAGTTAGAAAGATGCAACATTAACTTCTACTTGGAAGAGTAGTACAATACTCTCTCTTGTCATAGGGATCCCAAGTCAAATTTGGGGCTAATGCAAATCATGAGGGACGTGTCGGGTTACACATTGCCCCTGTAGTGTAAGGTAGCTTACAGTCCCAACAAGCTTATAGGATAGTTTGCGGATGAAGCAGCATCGCAAAGAAGTACTGCAAGTTCAGAAGAATCCTTCACAGCTAGGACCAGACTTTCCACAACTCCCTTCCTGCCCCAGATTTTAAATTAGAACTTTTTATTTTAAAATCTCACTTCAATGAAATGGTCACAGTGTTTGACAACTGTCATGTTGCCCAACCACCAAATGCAGTATTAAAGATCCAGATAAATACATTAAAGGTATCACTGTTTCGCACTCAATAGGTGATTTTGAATTTTTTACATTACGTTCAGCTGGCTATCCACAAGTGCAATTGAAATGTTCTAGTCTCCAAGTAAGAATTCTTTGTAGGGTAATGTTAAACTCTTTAAACACACGCGCAGGCTTTCCTTACTAAGAGACTAGATAGCATAACTCAAAGCATGACTGAAGACTGAGGCTCCACATCAGCTGCAGGATGCTGAAGTCCTCCCCTCTCTCTGCCCTGGCTGAATGCTCACATTTATTCTGATGCTTGTGTTGAACTATTTCATCCAAATGAGTCAGTAAAACTCTCACAACAAAAATAAGTTATTTTCTGCCAGCTGAGCATGCTGAAACAGCTGAGCATAGGGTCTGAATACGCACTCTTGCACCGTCTCGGAGAATCGGCCCACAACAGCTGGATTGTCCTAGGGTCCACACCTTATATCGTTTTAAGGTAGGCATTTACCCCGCAGTCTTAAATGTACAGTCTGGCACAATCTGATAGGTGGTCAACTCCGGCCCATTTTGAATTGTCTGAGACTCTTCACTGATTCGAATACTGAATGGCACTCTGGGAAAAATGTAGTTTTGCAAGGACGGGAAACTAGTAGTTTTTCTTCAGGGAAAGCACCTCTAACCTTTAGAGGTCTGTTATTCTGTCATGTTGGAGAATGAACTCAGGTTTAAAATATAAGAAACCTTGGACTACAGAATCTGATCTCACAGTTACCCTGAAAGTCAATAAAATGTTGCTAATGGAAAGACAATGAGTTCAAGCCCTTTATGACAGTCAGTGCCCCCAAGCGATATGTTCATAGCTGCAAGAAGCCAACGTGGTGAAACCATTTTCCCCTGGAAACAGTTCATTAAGTATCTTAATGTCCTTAAAGCTGCTACAAGGCCAACAAGTATTAATTTTCAGTCCCCGGAGTACAGCTCTAATCCTGCGTTTTATTCTACACACTCAAAGATAGCGGAGAAGCCTGTCGTTCAAGACAAAGTGTTTTTTCAGCCTTAGAGGGTTTCACGTGCAAGGAAATTCTCTACATCAAATTGAATTGCAAAGAGTGCAGACTTTGTACATTTCTATCTAATTTCTCTACGAAAGAGGCTAAAGCAGCCCCTAATTCCATCAAGGTCCCCCCTGCTGCCAAAAGAAGAAGAAATAACAACAACAAAAATCACTAAAATGTACGAGCAACCAAGTGCTTTTGCAAGCAATTGGGGTAGGAAAGAGGACTTCAAATATCATAAAAATCTTCCTGCTCATGCTTGACTTACAATAATTTTGAAAGTCTAAAACCATATGGCAAACAAACAGCAAAAAGAAAGACTGCAGCCCTAAGAGTAGAATAAACTCCCCAAGGAATAAAAGGTCAGTACAAACCTTACGAGGTATAAGGACTATAAACTGCTCAGAAGTTCTTCAGGGAACTTGTCTTCCTTATAAAGAACATATTCTATAAGAACAGACTATTGTTAACTCTGATGAGTGTTTTTTGGATATAAAGTGTTAAGTTACATAAAGTACATTAAAGTACTGATTGCACAGTAAGCTAAAAACAGGCCAAAATCAAATTTTTCCTGCTACTGACTTGTGACACCTCATTCCTGAAGCAGCCAAGTGTTCTGTTGTGAAAATAATGCTGAAATCATTCTGAATGATTCAGAGCAGTATTAAAAAAATAACAACACACACACACAACAACACACCACACACGTGGCAAGTGTGCTTTTGCCACACCCAAGTTTCACTCCTATAAAGGAAAGGCAGCCTGAACTAACTTCAATGGAGGTTTTAAAAGAAACCTCTGAGACATCTAACTGTACGTTTCAACTAACTCAAATTCCCACTCCCCTCTGTTTAAGATGACATAGCCCGTTTCATTTCTCTTGTTTACAGTTACAACCTCTAATGTTCAAAAAAAAAAGTTACGCCCTCAAAAAGATCTACAAATTTTGTGAGCGCTGCTTCAATTCCAGAGAAAGCCAAAGTGTTTAGAACTGTTAATGTAGTTTCCTAACGTCTACAACTCTGAATAATATCGTGACTTTTATTCAATGTCCATCCCTTTTCTCAAGAATAAGTATTGAAAATTATCATCTGCCCTCTAAACAGTACCCCTTTTGGTCTGTGGTATTTAACAAGGCTTAGAAACATTGCATTTTTAGAAGCTTAGAACACTATTTGCGCACACCTGACACTTAACAGAGGAAGACATGAAGAACCGATATCGCCTGATCTTCAAACGATGCATCTTCAGCAAAAAGATCAGAGACTATTAATCATTACCTCCTTTGCCCAATTATGAATATCCTTAATATTCTAGAACACTATACTATGGGAGCAGACTCGCATACTAGACATTTTACTGTAACTTAGCATAGAGATAAGTACCACTGGCACAAAGGCAACGAAGAGAACTTCGCACAATAAACTAGTAAGTATCTTAGTCACTTTACAAACCACAACTAAACAACCTCTATGCTTTAGAAGTTAAAAGCTGCAAGAGTTATCAGTATTAACTAACTAAAAAGGGAATTCCAAGACTGCTGAACACAGTAAGTCAATAAAACAAAAAAAGTATATATTTGGCCAGGAGCAAGATTTATTCACTCATCCACTTTCTGCAGGAAATACTAAACTGGTATTTCCAGCCAAGAGCTCCTGTTCTTACAGTTACCAGTAGGAGACACTTTTGAGAGCTTTTACAGAGATCATTCAGTAGTTAAAGGACTAGCTTAAGAAACTTCTGAACTGGAGTTTCAGTTGGATCAACATATTTAGTAGCTTACCTTGAGGCTTTCCTCCATGAATGTACCTAGACACTGTCTGAATATATGCTTTTGACCTCCACAACCTCCTCTGTTGATCAGTTCCAGAATCATGTTGCCTCAGTCTCGCTTGGCAACGCTTAGTTCTAATGTCAGGAAAGAAATCAATGATTGCACATTCATCTTAACCTGATCCAGTATGGTTATTCTCACGTTGAGTCCTGCTAGCTTCAGTACCACGTCCCTGACATCAGCAAGCAGCAAATGCCTT